TATCTAGGTAGAGGTCTTAAGGATAGTCTCTTTTAATATGTAGATTAGTATCTTTCACTTATGGAATTTTTTTCTTAGGCAATTGTTTTAAATATTATTTCTGCCTTTTGCTTCCACAGTGAGTCCATTTATTGTTATGATATTCCTTCTATTACTGTTTTTAGAAACTTGTTTATTGCTTGTTTTATTTCTCAAATACTTTTTATTAAATTTTATTTTGAGCCTATTCTCTCTTGGGTACTTTGTATTTTAGTCCATATTTCTGACACGATTTTGTCTTTTCTTCTATTATTTTCTGAGTTTAATCACTTTTTTCTTTCTTACATTTTTTAACTGATTTCTTTTTTTATTTTTTATCTTTCAGAATTACTTGCCTTAAATATTTTGAATGTTTGCCTGAATATATTTAAATATTTTGGAGCATTCTTTTATAGTTTTCTCCCTTTTTGTGAATCTTTGTGCGTATGTCAAGGTGATTTACAACAGCTTGGGTGTCAAAATTTTTTCTGTGGTTTGCTTTTTTGTTTACTTTCGAAAGACTTATTTCATTTACTTTTGTTCATGTAATCAATTTGGGGTGATTTATAGGATTCTTAATTCAGTGGCATCCTGTTTTGTCAGTATAGTTGTGTCCACATTACTTATTTTTTTCTTTTTCTCTTGTTGTTGATTTTTGTTGTTCTTTTGGTCACAAGGACTCTAAATTTTCTTTTTTAGTTTGTTTTTATGTTCATCATCCAATCGCCAAAGAGTGCCTCTTCCTTTCTTTTTGCATTTTGCTCTCCCCAAATCTATGTCTTTTAAAGAAAGCGACTACAAATTGCATAATTGCATGTACTTAATAGTAAATGGACTAGTGGATCAAAAATATTTTTTAAAAATTGGGTCTTTACGGTACTGAGCATTTACAGACTTTTTTTTTCTTGTCAGTATTTCCTAAACAATGCAGTATAATAACCCTTTTCACAGAATTTACAGTGTATTAGATATTATAATCAATCTAGAGATGATTTAAAGTATGTAGGAGGATCTGCATAGGTTTTATGCAAATACCATGACATTTTTTTATATCAGGGACTTAAGCTTCTGTGGATTTTGGTATCTGTGGAAGGTCCTAGAACCAATCCCTCACAGATACTGAGGACAACTGTAATTATCTTTGCTCATACAAATATTTATACAAACATGGAAAGCTTTTTTGGTTAGTTTTTAAAATATTGTCCAATTTTACTGCAATAAACTTAGTAATAGATTTTTGACATTCCTACAGTTCAGTAGATAAAAATTTGAGTCTATCTCTGCAACAAAATATTTCCTTTTCATATCCTAACACCTGTATGTAACACTTATCTATAAATGGGTCATATATACAGTAATCAATGCTGGTGATTAGTTCTTTCCTTCCTTCCTTTTCTCCTTTCTTCCTACACACATCTACATCTATCTGTCTATCTAGCTACCTGTCTATTTATCTATCCATCCCCGCCCCCCCGCCGACACAGACAGACACAAATATAGATATACTGAAAGGATTTGGTCAAAGTTTCCATTACAAAAATTAAAATATATTAAACACAGCTTTTCATCTTTTTCTCTTTTTGATGTGTGAATAAAAGGTAAAACTTTTTATGAGAGATAATTTTTTTGTGACTGAAGCAGTGATTAAATAAACCATCATTTTCCCACTGAATTAAAATTGTCTGACTTTTATATAACAAATGGAACAAACATTTGTATGAAAATAAAGGTTATTTAGTAGTCTTTAATTTTATAATATCAACTATTCTACTGATTACTTTTCCTTTTCTTATGCCAGTACCATTTAATTTGATCTCAGGCCTGCATGTTTTGATATTGTATAAAGCAAGTCTCTATTCACTAATATTCATTTTGCTTTTATGTGCATTCATGAGATTTTTTTCTTCTGCATAACTTAGAGATAATTAATGCAATCAGAAAAAAATTAAAAGCTGATTCTAATTGGAGTTGTGTTTAACTTATATATTCAGATTGGGAGAATTGATATTATATGATATAACATATTACATCCATGTGTGGTTTATCCTTTGGCTATCATATAGATGGCTTTGATTTGTAGCTGTTTATCGCTACTATAAATATTGTCAACTGACTTTTAAACGTATGTGTTCATTTTCACATTGTTAGCAATTTTTTAAATTAAGTCTATTAGTTTCCTGTTATGTTTTATTGTTTTCTAGGTACATAATAATGTTATTCAGAAAAAATTACCATATTTTATCAATTCTATTTTAATGCATGCCGTTATATGTTGTGCTACCAAGAAAGAAAAAATGTTACTGATTGAAATATGCACAATATTAAGATTCCAGTCATTGTAAAACACATTTGCCTTTTAAAAATATAAAAACTTGAAAAAAAAAATGCCTTCAATAATTTCTAACTACAGTAGTTACATAACTCTTTCTGATATTAATCCCAAATATTTTATTACCTTATGACATTTCTAAGATGACAATGGAATGTTGAATATTAATAATAAAATTGAGCATCTTTGTTTCTTAACTTTAATTAAAATAGGTACGGGTGTTTTGCTGTTTTATATAATTGTGACAATTGCATTTCCTTAAAAATTTTTATCTTATTTTAGTAGTTTTTCATAATCTCACTTCACATTTTTTAAGAACAATTACTGATTTTTATCCAGTGATAGTTTGATCTATTAATCAAAATCCACACATAATGTTCTTTTTAAAATTTATTACAACAAAATTGGGCTATATTCCATATATATTTATGTATATATTTCTATATCTCTATGTTTTATTTATCTACCTATCTTTTTTTCTGTTATCTCCACACTTGTGTTATTGGAATAAATCTTGATTGATCATAGCATATTCTTTTTGCTATTTTGTTGGATTCTATTGAAATAGTCTATATGCATCAGCTAATTTGTTTAATAGTTCATGTTATACTGCCTTAATCAGATTTTTGTCAAATATTAAGATGTGTTCATAAGATTATTTAGGAAGTTTTTTGTTGTTTGGATAATTGAAATCAGAATGAAATTCCAATTTTTTTTACTTGTATAGAAATTTGATTCTTTCTCTCCTTCAATAATAAATCCTATTTGACCTCCTAAATGTTATATGGTGATTGATATATTTAAGTTTTCCACATCTTGAATTAATTTATAAATTTTGTTTTGCCAAAAACATGTTCATTGATTCTGGGTCTTTACTTTTTTTGGCTCCCTCTAGAATTGTGATAGTACCCCCATAAGTTATTTCACTTCACATGCCATTAGTTTGCATCTTCTTTCTTATTTGTAACCTTACATATTTTACTCTGCTTTATATTCATTTATGTTTCTGAGAAATTTATCAGTTTTCCTGAAATATTTAAAGAATCACCTTTTGGGTTTATTTAGCTTTTTAAATTCATTTAATTTTCTATTCTTATTAAAACTTATTTTCTATATATTTTGGGTTAATTTTATGGGTTTTAAAATTTTTATATGAGCAAGAATTGCTTTATTTCTGATCCTGTTTATTTTTTAAAAAATAGTAAGTATATTTAAGGATAAATAATTATTTAATTTCTTTTTTAGGCTTTATGTGAATTGTTATAGTTTCTCAATTTGATTGTATATGCATTTCTTAACTTCCAAAGAGTTACATTTGAATTCCCTATTTAATTCCTTATATATAGTATTAGTAGATTATTTTTTCATGAAATCTGGACATTAAAAGCTCTCTTTTAGATAGAGAAACATAAAAGTGATTCCCCTCATCCATAGATCATAACCCAAATAGAAACAGAAAAAGTATTTTTAGAGAAAATTGTCATTTTTTCATGAGTAGGTAATTTTTCCCTAATTCACATTTTTTTTTTCTTTTTATCTTTTTTACTGACCGGTAACGGGATCGCAACCATCGGTGTCTTAGAGAAAATTGTCATTTTTTCATGAGTAGGTAATTTTTCCCTAATTCACATTTTTTTTTTTTCCTTTTTATCTTTTTTACTGACCAGTAACAGGATCGCAACCATCGGTGTTGCACCCGCACTGGGGACCGGCAACGGGATCACAACCCTCGGTGTTGCGCCCACACCGCGCTCAGCCAGTGAGCGGGAACCGGTCTCCACATGGGATCCGAACCCTCAGCGGGAGTGCTGCCCAGGTGGTGCACTCTCCAGTGCGCCACCGGGCCGGCCCCCTAATTCACATTTAAAAAATCTTTACTTTATGCTATTCTGTAAGTTTCAAGTGCTTTCACCATTTGAATCCTGCAACTTTATCTTGCATCTCCACGTGGACATTTAAACTCAAGCCACTGTAACCCCTAACTCAACAAGATGACACAACATCCTCTGTTCTTTGCTTTCCTGGGAATTCACAGATCATAGACGGATTACTTAACATTTCTGTTTACTCTGGATCTCTGACACCTGGTGATTGTCCACATTTTAATTTTCACTTTCAGCTATATATTCAAAAGAATATTTATAAAAATTGATCCAACCTTTCCTTTTGTTTTTATTGTGTTTTCTTTGAGTATTAAAAATGATATTATGTTCTTTCTCAATTGTTCCATTATTACAAAATGCCCTTATTCATCCTATTTAGTATTTTAAGATAAAATTTGACCTCTTAATTAAATTTTTATATTATTTTGTATATATTTTAATACAGTAATCCACAGTCTTATGTTTTCATTTTTGTGGGAGACTAAAGAATTATTTTTATTATACCATAAACTATAATTACATGGGGTTTTATTTATTGACAATTGAATTTAAGAGAAGTACAGTTTTATGTTCTTACTGAGACATATCCCCTTCAAGAAGCTGAGTAAAAACCAAAGGAAAGAAAGAGTTGATTAAGATGCAAAGAAAATAAATCTAAAGAGGAGCCAAGAAGGATAACAAACTGAAATATGGATTATTAAAAGACAAAAAAATATGTTTCAAGAAAGTTTTAGCAGCCACTTACCTTTTATTTTGGCTGCTATATTATTTTACTTATTTAAAAATGAAGCAATTCTTTTCATCAAGTTCTTGAAGGCTTTCTTCACCTGCTTATTTCTCAGGGTATAAATGAATGGATTTAACATAGGTGAAATAGATGAAATAAGTAGGGAAACCACTTTATTAATAGTCACTTCTTCTTTTGCTGTGGGATTTATATAGATGAACATGCATGTGCCGTAGGTGATGGAAACCACAATCAGGTGGGAAGAACAGGTGGAAAAGGCCTTTTTCCTTTGTTGGGCAGATGAGAATCCTAAAATTGTCTTGATAATAGAACTATAAGATAGAACTACACACATAAGGGTCAATATGAGGGTCAGCACAGCACAGATTAAAACAGTTTGTTCCATGAACCATGTGTCTGAACATGATATCTTCAGGAGGGGAGAAGCATCACAGAGAAAATGCTCAATGACATTTGAGTCACAGAATTTCAGATTCAGCCCCAGACTAAGTGGGGAGGTTATGACCAGCAACCCAGACAACCAACAGTAAAAAACAAGTCTCCTGCACACTCTGGTGCTCATGATGCTCACATAATGCAGGGGTTTGCAGATGGCCACGTAGCGATCATAGGACATGGCGGCCAGGAGGAAAAATTCTGTTACTGCAAAGAGGTCAGTGAAAAATACTTGGATGACACAAGCATTATATGTAATGGTCTTATCACCTGTTGCTATGTTATATAAGTATTTGGGAACACAGGCAGTTGTGAATGAGATCTCTAAGAAGGAGAAGTTTTGTAAAAAAAAGTACATTGGTGTTTTAAGATGGGGATCCACAAAGGTTAGGGTGATGATGGTAACATTCCCAGTTATGCTCAGCATGTAGGTGAGAAATAGAAAGATAAAAATCAAAACTTGCAGCTTAGAGTCATCTGTCAGTCCCAGCAGTATGAATGTTGTTATTGTGTAGTTTTTCATCACTGATGACTTCTGTTCAATCTGCATGTCCAATAATTCAGGGAGATTGTCATATACATGATTTTATCTATATAAAATCTATCTTAATCAGCTCTACCTTCACTATATTTCTATAATGTATTGTAAATCATAGTATGGATATGATTAGATATTGCTAATATGGCGTGATTTCATCGATAGCAAAAATGCCATTTGGCTTCTCAAAATTCGTCCCTATTCACAGCTCAGTAAAACAAAACCACCTCACACCATTAAAGTTATGCTTTGGTTAACAATTTGGTTCTTGTCAAAATGCTATTGTGTGTATATATACACATATATACATATATATATATAAAATTTGGTCTCACTTTAAAGAGCTCTGATCAGAACTTGGAATCTCTGTTCTGGCTTTACAGTTAAATTTTTTGCTTGTTTTTCTTTCTTTTTGTTGTTGTTGTTGAATGTATTTTCTCTGATAACAATGCTAAACCTTACGCACAAGACTATACAAGCTACCCTCCCTTCCTTGTCATTCTTCTATTCTTCCTTGTCATTTCTTTATTAATGTGCAATTTTGAACTTATTATCTCTGTTGTGCAGAACACAGTTTTAAACACAAATTTACTCATACTTAAGATGTTTATGAAAATGCTTTAAGTAACTTAAAAATTACATGTTCTTTGGTCTTATCTTTTTTCTGTTTTTATTTCTTGGATCTATTAGTTCCTCTTTACTTCTGACTCTACTCGCTTTCCTGTTTTCTCCGCAATTTCTATAATTTTATATGACATCTTTCCCTTAATAATTATCAAATTTCTGTTTCTAATAATGGATTTTTTTTCTGACTTACATATTGAATTGGCTACCAAATGTATCTATTTATATATTGAACTTACCACCAAACATACCTGCTTGTACAAATCACTTTCTTGTCCACTTTAATGTGCCTAAAAAAGAAGTCAAGGTGTTCCACAGGTCCTACACTGCCACCCCTTTTTCCTGTGTGCCAACAAGTTCCATTTGTTAAACCTTGTGTTTAAATTTGTTAAACATTGTGTTTTGCCAGATATTGTCATAAGCATTTCTCTTATTTTGTCCCCCACTCCTGAATTTAATCTGGGTAAAAACTGTTCATCATTGATTCCTGTGGGAAGTTTTCTGCAATTCTTATGACTCACACACCCACTCCTGTGCTCCCATAACAAATGATACTTGCCACTATCTTAGTATGCAGACAGAGAATGTGTTTATTGGGATTACATCTTTCACACACTTATAGCCAAGACAACCAAAAATATTTAAATATTAAAGAATATTTTCTAAATAAATTTATATATTCCAAATTTACCAAGCACACACAGACAAAATTTTTCTTCCTATATGGACTTAAATTTATACTGCTTTATACTAAATTTGCATATTAAATTTTCTATATCTCTGATCATATAAGTAGAAAATTTTGTGGGGTTTTTTTTTCTTTTTTTGTTCTTAAATAAGAGTTACATGTGTTAATTAAATCACATTGTAAAGTGATCTTTACAAATCTGACAAAAGGTTTAATTGTCTTATCTTCCTTCCTTGGTATTTCAAATAAGTAATTTTATTTTCATTGATATGGTGTTTCCATTTGTACTGTATCTATTAGTACAATGCTAAACTCAGAGACCATGATTTTTTGATGCTGAGGTTATGCCACAAGTGGCTCCACAGTAATTTTCTTAGGCATAAAGATTTAATTACTACAGGAAAGGACTTGAATGTATTCAATTTTCAGTGTCTCAATGCTTGTACTCCTCCAGCAATGAGTAAAATGAAAATTCCCTTTGAAACCACAATTTATTCTTTCCTGAGCAGTTTCTCCTCATTGTTTATTTTACTGTATTTTATTCATCCTGAGGTGGAAAAGAGCCACATTTGAATATCTGCTTAATTTATACTATTAAATCCACAGGGTGGCAGTCACCAATACAGAGAAGAAGTGCTGACCTAGGCTCATGATTTGCCTGAAAACTAGAACCTTCCAGGGAATTTAGGTCCATATGCTACCTATATTTTAGATTAAGTAGAGAAGTGGTGAAGAATGATCGCTGAGGTCTGTCTATTTTTCTGCCATCCTCTCTCCTTACGTCAGTCTACATGTGCATCACTATGTAACCTTACTCAGCTCAAAATGCTATGGACGTTATTCAACACACAAAATATTAGAGAAGTGGTGAAGAATGATCGCTGAGGTCTGTCTATTTTTCTGCCATCCTCTCTCCTTATGTCAGTCTACATGTGCATCACTATGTAACCTTACTCAGCTCAAAATGCTATGGACGTTATTCAACACACAAAATTATGTTTTTTTGTTTTCTATAAGAAATTACACAGTATTATAAGACAGAATTTAATAAATGAAC